CTCTCCCAAAAAAACCCAAAGGGAACTTCGTATCATTAACTACTTCAGAGTCAAAAAAAAAAAAAAAAAAAAAAGAATCTGTTATTCCAAAGAAGCTGAATGAGGTTCTCAGCCCCACCACAGACTTACTGATCCAGAAACTCAGGGGGTGTGGCCCAGCATCTGTGCTCCAACAAGCCCCCCAGGCAAAGCTTCAGGGGCTCAGATTTGGGAATTGCTGGTTGAGTTGAAGAAGGGATGAGGGAACAGCCCCTCACTGGCTTGATTTTCTTTTGCAAAAGTTAGGAAAATCCTCCACCCTGGGCACTGAAGCCGCGGGCTCTGGGCTGTGCACCCCAATGTGTTAATCTGGTTGCAAAGGTTTAGGTTGACTTCTGAATGCCTAATACTGCAGCTCTGAGACGTGCAGCCACCATCACGCTCCCGGTCACCTCCCAAGATGTGTGGTGTGAAGTGGAGCCACTGACCAGGCGTGGATAGGCGTGGACCGTGGGCTCCACCAGATTCCCTGTGTTCCTGTCGCTGCTGAGTTCTGTTACAGGAAATAGGAAACTAAGACATCATTTTTCCGGGCTTCTAACTAGCCTGCCAAGTGCCTTCTCCCACACTGTTTCTGTGGCCTGAATCCCCCTCCTCCTTCTCCATTTGTCCCACAGCTGGTGAATCCCCCTCAGATCTCTGGCCTCAGCCTAAATGGCCCTTCCGCTGGGAAGCCCTGCCTGACCGTACCCTGACCTGGTCAGGTCTCCTCGCCCCCATTCAGCCCTCAGGACACCCTCGAACACCTCCCATTATCTCCCTCCCTACCTCCCTCACTGGCCCCCTCCAGGTCCCCTGTTCCTCCCCGTCTCTGACACAGGCCAGTGAGGTCAGGGCCAGGATCAATAAAAGTTTGCAGGATGGATGTCAGGGGTGTGAGGAAGGCCAGTGCTGCTCCACTCCACCGCTGTCTCCGTCTTCCTTCCCCTGGTTCCTCCTCTAGTCGTGCATTCGTCTGTGTGTTCATTCACTCATCCAGCAGACATTTATTTTATTTATTTATTTATTTTTGAGACAAGAGTCTCGCTATGTCACCCTCAGTGGAGTGCCGTGGCGTCACAGCTCACAGCAACCTCAAATTCTTGGACTTAAGCGATTCTCTTGCCTCAGCCTCCCAAGTAGCTGGGACTACAGGTGCCTGCCACAACATGCGGCTATCTTTTTGTTGCGGTTGTCACTGTTGTTCAGCTGGCCCAGGCCGGGTGTGAACCCTCCAGCCTCGGTGTACATGGCCGGCACCATCACCACTGTGCTACGGGCACCGAGCCCCAACAGAGGTTTATTGAGCACCTAGTCTATTTCAGGCTCTTTCGGTCAATAGGGAAGACACCTGGGTGAATAAGGAAGGAACTGGAGTTTAGATGCTACAGCCTCCCTGGCGTAGGAGGCCAGAGGCCAGCAGGTGTCCTGGGAAAAGAATGACACAGGCTCCCAAACTTAGAATCATGTAATTTGTCTGCAGTGTTTAAACACACACACACCCCCCCATGAGCCACATGCACGGAAGGCCAAGGCTTTCCACTGCCATTTCTGGGAAGAAGCAGGGGGTTTTTGTTGTTGTTTTTGAGTCTCACTATGTCACCCTCAGTGGAGTGCTGTAGTGTCACAGCTCACAGCAACCTCAAGCTTTTGGGCTTAAGCGATTCTCTTGCCTCAGCCTCACAAGTAGCTGGGACCACAGGCGCCCACCACAACACCTGGTTATATTTTTTTTTTTTTTTTTTTTTTTTGAGTTTTGGCCGGGGCTGGGTTTAAACCCGCCACCTCTGGCATATGGGGCCAGTGCCCTACTCCTTTGAGCCACCGGCGCTGCCTGGCAGTTATATTCTTATTGCAGTTGTCATTGTTATTTAGCTGGCCAAGCTTAAACCCGCCAGCCTCAGTGTATGTGGCAGGCACCATAACCACTGTGCCACGGGCCCCAAGCCTGAAGAGGCAGTTTTGCATAAGGCCTAAGCGTGCACACACGTGGACTCCTGTCCAGAGTGAGGACGGCGCCTGAGTTCTTCTGTCAGGTGAGCCATCCTCATTCCCAAGCCACTCACCAGTTCTGCCCAAACTCATTAAAAGACTGGAGGGCCTGCAGGGGTGTCCAACCTTTTCTTTTTCTTTCCTGCCACACATTGGAAGAAGAGTGGTCTTGGACCACACATCAAATACACAAACACTAATGGAAACTGATGAGTCAAAGAAAGATTTATGCATAATTTTCATGATCTCTGACACCACAGAGAAGCACAGCAGGCTTCAGATAATCCACACGGGGCCTGCGGGCCCTAGGTTGGACACCCCTGGTAGAGGTAGAGGGAGATGGTACCCTGTGAATTCCCCTCCTCTGAGCCCACGGGGCCAGTGCACGCCTCCCCCTGCCCAGGCACCAAGGAGTAAGCTGGACTCCTTCCTCGCTGCCAGCTCCGCAGTGCCACCCTCCTCACAACCACAATCAGCCACGCTGTGGAATTTTCAAGATGGACTTCATACTTAGGTCCATTTTTCCCATTGGACCAGACACTCATGGAGGTACCTACCAAGTTACAAGAACTTGAGGGAGCCACGTTACCGCTCTGGGCCTGCTTCAAAACAGGGGTGGGGGCAGGTGTGGAACATATAGTCTCTTAAGTCAGAATCTGCCCTCTGTACACACACGGCACAGCGATAGCATCAGAGAGCTTTAATTGTGGGATGAAAATGACAGGAAGCCGTGGGTTTGGAGGAGAGGAGGGTACTATAGATTATAAACCATGATGCTAGGGGCCCCGCTGGCGGGAGGGTTCAGTCTTATGAGTTTATCTTCAGCTGCTGGCTGTCTGGCAGGTCCAGTGATGCTGTGGGTCTCCAGTTGGTTCTGCCTGAGCTGCTGATCTGATGGCAGCTCTCAGAAGCTTGGGACAGGGTGCAGGTGATGGGGAGGAACCGGGATCGCATGCTCCCGCTGGGACATGGCCCATAGCGGTGGTCTGGGGTAGGACAGAGTGTAAGTGCTCTCCCGGGGGCTAGTGCTGGATGCGTGCCATCTCTGCTTCAGCTGCTCATAGAGTCCGTAATTTGTAGGGGGTGCTGCAGAAGAAACCAGGGTTGGGATGAACAAGGCCGAGGGCAGCAGATTCACCCCAACTGGCCCCAGGAATGGGTGGTGGGGGACCTGCTCTATCAGGGGCCAAGCCTGGCAAAGCACCAAAAGAAAGAGATGGGTCTCAGGAGAGCAGGGTGGCCTGGGCAGTCCCTAGGAATCTCAGGGCGGGGCCTGCTCCCTGAGCACTCAAGAAAGACCAGGCGCCAATACAGAGGTCTGGGAGAAGCCAGCCCCACGGTGTGGCTGAGTACTGCACCGCCACATCCTGGGTAATTGTCCCTCCCCAGTAGGAAAGAAGCAGTGTGGTCTGTGAGAGTGATGTCCAGGAGAGACCCACTCAAAAGTAACACAGTGAAGCCAGATGTGGTGGCTCGCTCGCGTCCGTAATCCTAGTATTCTAGGAGGCCGAGGAGGGTGAATTGCTTAAGCTAGGATATCTGAGACCAGTTTGAGCAAGATAGAGACCTCATCTCTACTAAAAATCGAAAAAAATACTAGCTAGGCGTTGTAGAGGGCATCTGCTGCTCCAGCTACCAGGGAGGCTGAGGCAAGAGGATTGCTTGAGCCCAAGAGTTTGAGGTTGCTGTGATCTATACAACCCCACGGCACTCTACCCAGGGCTACTGTGTGAGACTCTGTCTCAAAAAAAATAAGGCGGTAACCAGCAGATCATCCTCTGACCTTTTTCCCTTTGCATCAAAAGTAGGACTGCAAAGAGATGGCGTGGCTTTGTGTCCTCCTTAGCATCAGGGTGGCTCAAAATGTAAATCAGAGACACTCTGATTTCAAAGCAAGACACTCTCCTGCAAAATTCCCTCCCAGGTCTTGGAGTTGGGGGAAGGACAAAATCCACCCCTCCCCTTGTTGGCCCCAATAAGCCCCCATGTGGTTCTCCTCCATTCCTGCTTCTTCCTGGGACTGCTCTTCCCCCCAATCCCTCCATGGCTCCCTCCTTCTCAGCTCAACTATCCCTTCAAGCAAGAGGGATCCCATATCAGTCCTAGGAGGGATTTGTGAACTAAAGGGGGCTCACAAACACCCCGCCTCGCCTTCTGCCTCTTACTCTTTCCGTAGCACGTCTCCCTGTCTGAAATTATCTTATTCACTCAATTGCGAGTTCTCTAGTTCTGTAATTCATTAATGGGGTCTTAACTGTCTCTCTGCTGGGATGTCAACTTCCCAAGAGCAGAAATTCCACAGTGATTGTCATTGCTGTGTCCCCAGGGGCTATGACATGAATGTGGCCTGGGAAATACTCTGTCGCTACTTATGGAGTGAACAGGAGGGTACAGCAAGGTTGCTCCCTGACACCTGTGCTCCAGGTAAACACGCCACCACAGTGCACAGGTGAGGACATAATTACATGGCCAAGGTTAACCTGTGTCGAGGGGAGAAGGCAGGCGGCAGTCCTGAAGGGGAAACAGGACCATCCCCTGTAATTTCATCCTGCTGCTCTCCTGCAGCCGGTCACAGCTGTGGCTCCCTCTGCATGAAGCAGGCATGTTTGTGGACACTTCACAGACCAATGCACAGGAAAACCCTGAATTATACCAAGAAGGGGGAAGTCGGCCTTTTCCGGTAACCACAGCAACTTGTTCCTGCTCCAGGTGCGGAGGGGAGGCAGGCCCGGGTTGTAGTTATGCCGGTTGTAATGGTCGTCATACGTGCTGATCAGATGGCGGTACGAGGGCTCCTGGTGGTGGGTGATCAGGTGTTTGTAGGGAAGCCCCTGGGAGGACAGACACAGTGGGTACGTTACCAGTGGTTGCAGATGGAAGTCAGGAGCTGCTGCCATGAGGGTGGAGGGGGGCCTCCTTGGGCTGGCACTTTGTCCCACCCGGATGCAGCCCGCTTTCGAGCCAGCTGCATTCAGTTCTCTGTATGACTGGCTCCCAGATTCTGCCAAGTCAATTCATCCTAGAATGAGCTATGGTGCCACACTAAAATTAAAGTCAAGACACCCCGCTGAATGAGAAGAGTGAGAGCCACCTCACTGCGCGCTCTTGGGATCTGAAATTACACCCCGATCTGTCTCAGGTCTCGCCCATTGAAGAGCCTATTTCCAAGGAAGTGAAGGTCGGCGTGCCCCAGCCTGGTGTGTGCGACTTATATTTCAATCAGCTACCGTGGGAAGAACCGGAGAATGCTCCATAAATTGCCTTCTCCTGCGAAGGATTTACAGCCCCCTCAGCTGGAAACTGGGGGTGTGATCTCTTTGGTGGGGAGTTATTTACTCCTTACTCTGGGATGTTTGCCTGAATCGGTGCTTTTCCTAAGAAAATCCCCTTGGGCCTGGAAGGGAATCCTGGGGAACCGCGCTGATTTACAAGGGAGGAGAATGCTGCATCCGCACTCGTTCCCTTGTCGGGAGGCAGGGAGGTCTGCGTCTGCCGTGTCTGGGGAAGCTGGCTGCACCCAGTATTTCAAGTGGTGGTTCCATAAATAAGTCAGATCACAATGCCGGAGGGAGACAAGGGGGGTGGGCACACACATTAAGCAGGGTTCCCAAGATCTGCGTCACCAGGGACCCCAGAGGGTATTTCCAGGGCTGAGGAGGCATCACGTCAGGGAAAGGAGAGAGGCCACGAAGGAGTTTCTTGCTGTTTCTCATGATTTGGACGCAGCCTTGTTACCTCGATTGTGTACTGGGGATGTGTCTCTAATTAGGCATGGGAAAGTCCTGGACATGGAGACACTGCCTTTGAAAGAAGAGTTTCTTACTTACAGTCCCCAGGAGGAGGGGGCATGCCGTGCCCTGCTGGGACACGTGGGGGGCAGGAGCAGGGCCCCAGAGCCTTTGTTGTGGTTTCTGAGGGCACAGATGGGCGAGGCAGGGCGGGCATACTGGAGAAGGCCTGGGACTGGACAGCTGGAATCAATTCAGTGGGCTCTGGGCTATGGGGTAGTCGCCAGTTGTCCAGGTCTTGGCCCTGGGGGGATTTCAGGCAGGGGAAATATTGGCGTGGTGCATGAGAGTTAGAGAAATGAGGTGTCTGGGATATGAGCTTGGGAGTAGTTTTTGCCTAAGAAGGAAGAGTAAGGTGGGAGGCAGAGATGGACCAGGAAGCCATCCTGGAGTGAGGAGCGCAGAATGAAACAGGCAATTGCTGACCGAGCCGAAGCAACGGCCTGGAAGCAGGGCTGCGTCAGTCCGGGCCCCAGCACACCATAGGCCATTTGAACAGAATCTTTAAAAACAAATGTTCGATCGTTTGGTCCTTCCCTGATCTGCAGAGCAGAGACATGCTGGGTCCCTCACCACTAGCCAGGAGTCTTGGAAAAGGAATGCACCGCCTCCATCAGCAGCTGAATGATCTCTTGGGTCTCTTTAAGCTCGAAAATGCTCTAATTCGGACAGACATCAGCCATCTTGCTCTGTGCCTGCCGGCTCCCGCCCAGAGTTTAAGCTGGGGTGTAGGGTCTGGTGGGGAGGGGGTGTGCAGACATAAATTGCTTCTGAGAGCAGCAGGCTAGCAAAAGAAGCAGCTCAAGGGAACTCCCAGCGTGGGGTGGGGACAGAACACAGCTGTACACCTGGCAGGAGAGCACCTGCAGGCTGGGCCTCCCCCGGAGCGCAGCTGGCGGGTACCCACAAGGGTTGATGGAGGAAAGGGCTCTCCCTGTTGTTTCTGGAAGGGCCAGGATCTCAGAGCCTCTGGCATACTAACTTAATCAACATCTTGAATGCCCTCCTTGGTGTAGGGGAGGCATTGCAGTGCCCGGCTCCCTGCTCTGAACACCTGGACCACAGTGCCGTGCACAAACAAGTCCCTGATGGATAGAATGACCCCGGGCTCTTCATACAAAAGAATAGGGAGCTGGTGCACCAGTGACTCAAAACCCCGGTGGTCCAAACATCACCACTACCTGTGCTGTGGCGTGGGAGTCCCTTACATCATTCCTCTCTATATTTACTTTCATTCAATATTCATCTTCTTATTTTTGCTTCTGTCATTCGTAGCCTATATTCTGTTTTTTGGGGGGTTTTTTTGAGACAGAGTCTCACCTTGTCACCCTTGGTAGAGTGCTGTGTCATCACAGCTCACAGCAACCTGCAACTCCTAGCTTAGGTAAATCTCCTGCCTCAGCCTCCCAAGTAGCTGGGACTACAGGTGCTCGCCACAAAGCCAGGCTATTTTTTTTCCAGTTTTTGGCTGGGGCTGAGTTTGAATCTGCCACCTCCGGCATATGGGGCCAGCGCTCTACTCCTCTGAGCCACGGGCACCGCCCTCCGGCTATTTTTTTCTTGCAGTTCGGCTGGGGCTGGGTTTGAACCCGACACCCTCTGTATATGGGGCTGGCACCCATCCCACTGAGCCACAGGCGCCGCCCACTTCTCTCCTTCTTTACCTGTGAATACCAGTGTGATCCAGGAGCTGGGATGTAGATTGGGAGAAATGTTACCAGCTTGAGATTAAACAGATCATCAACTCACACAAGTAACTATGGGTCTCCGCAGCCCTGGGGCTGGGAGGATATTAGCGACAGTACCAGTTTTCCCCACAGGGTAGCAGGCTTAGAAGCCGGCCAGTGTGTCTCCTGAGCTTTGGGAGGGAGAGTCCTGTGTGTTGTCCATCGTTCCCTTTTTCTTTCTTTCTTCTTTTTTTTTTTTTAGAGACAGAGTCTCACTTTTTCGCCCTAGATAGAGTGCTGTGGTGTCACAGCTCACAGCAACCTCCAGCTCTTGGGCTTAGGCAATTCTCTTGCCTAAGCCTCCCAAGTCGCTGGGACTACAGGCACCTGCCACAACGCCCGGCTATTTTTTTTTTTTTTGTAGCATTTTGGCTGGGGCCAGGTTTGAACCCCCCACCTTTGATATCTGATGCCAGTGCCCTACTCACTGAGCCACAGGCGCCGCCCCACTGTTCCCTTTTACCTCGATTTTCTTCTTCCCGTACCACCTGGACACCTGGTCCGGCCTGCAGCCTGGGAAGGGGATGTAATCTCTTCTGTAAATGGACTGGGGTATCTCAGTGACTCCAGCAAACTGAAAAAGACCGAATATCCAGGAGAACCTCAAGCTGCTGCTTCTCAAACTTCTGCTGGGCCCCCCAACTTCCTGAGCCATAGGAAGATTGGCACAGAAAGGGTAAACACAGCCCCCAAGATTCCCTGCAGGACACAAGAAGGGTGCGTGCTCGGGGCTGGCAGCTCTCCCAACAGCAACCCTGGGGAGAGCTGCCATCGGCCACAGGGCCCTTCTCATGAGCCCCACCTGCTACCTTCCTCCACTTCTCTCTCTCTTCTCCCCACTCCTACCTGTGTTCTCCCCTTCTTTTTCTTCTTTGTTTTTCACTTTTCCCAAGTCCACTCTCTCCTTTTTTTTTTTTTTCCAAGACAGAGTCTCACTATGTCACCTTCAGTAGAGCGCTGTGGCGTCACAGCTCACAGCAACATCAAACTCTTGGGCTTAAGCAATTCCCTTGCCTCAGCCTCCTGAGTAGCTGGGACTACAGGTGCCCACCACAACGCCCAGCTATTTTTTGGTTGCAGTTTAGCGGGGGCCGGGTTTGAACCCGCCACCCTTGGTATGTGAGGCCAGCGCCCTACTCACTGAGCCACAGGTGCCGCCCATGATTTATGATTTTTGATTGAATAAAGAGACCTATGGGGGAATGGCTGGGGCTGCACTTGGCTAACTACACTTGAGATGCTGCTGGCTTAGTGTCTGCCTCTCACAGGCTCCCGTCGGTTACTGTTTGCTGTGGGCTTTTCATATATGGTCTTTATTGTGCCAAAGTACTTTTCTTGCTTTCCTAGTTTGTTGTAAATCTTTATTATGAAAAGGAGTTGAATTTTGTCAAAAGCCTCTTCTTTTTCTTTCTGAGACAGAGTCTCACTTTGTCGCCCTTGGTAGAGTGCCGTGTCGTCCTAGCCCACAGCAACCTCCAACTCTTGGGCTCAAATAATCCCCTTGCCTCAGCCTCCCAAGAAGCTGGGACGACAGGTGCCAGCCACGATGCCCACTATGTTTAGAGACGGGGTCTCGCTCTTGTTCAGGCTGGTCTGGGACTCCTGAGCTCAGGCAATCCACCCACCTGGGCCTCCCAGAGGGCTAGGATTACAGGTATGAGCCACCAGGCCCAGTGAACTGTGCCACTTTTACCCAGCTGAGCTCCAAGGTAAATGAAACAGACACCAACCCTCGGGCAGCCCCGGCCAAATTTGGATATGGCTCTGCTCCGCCCTGGATCTAAGGGAGGGATAGGAGCTGGGCCCCTACTTCCCTTGGTGCTGTAGTCTGTGCTCAGGGGGCACAGAGGAGGGTGGGGAGAGGGCAAGTGAAGACACCACGGAATTTTCTTTTTCTTTTTTGGCCATTTTTGGCCAGGGCCGGGTTTGAACCCACCACCTCCAGTATATGGGGCCAGTGCCCTACTCCTTTGAGCCACAGGTGCTGCCCACACCATGGGATTTTCTTTTCTTTTCTTTTATTTTTTTGAGACAGAGCCTCAAGCTATCCCCCTGGGTAGGGCGCTCTGGCATCACAGCTCACGGCAACCTCCAACTCCTGGGCTCAAGTGAGTCTCCTGCCTCCGCCTCCCAAGTACCTGGGACCACAGGCGCCTGCCACAACACCTGGCTATTTTTTGGTTGCAGTGTCATTGTTGTTTGGCGGGCCCAGGTTGGATTCGAACCCGCCACCTTAGGTGTACGTGGCTGGCGCCTTAGCCGCTTGAGCCACAGGCACCGAGCCCACACCACGGGATTTTCTATCATGTCGAATGTGTCTTTTCCTTGACTGGGCATTTGACTGTGGACGTTTGCCTGCTTTATGGAGCCCCTGTGACATTTTAGCCAGTTGTTTCACGTTTCTACGGAGAATGAGGACCTGGGTTTCATAGTCCACCACCTTGCCGGCTCACTGCAGCTCCACTCTCTTTACACAATCTCCTCTAGGGGTGAGCCCAGCCCATGATATTCCTGAATACTGCATCGCCCACGGGCACCCAAAGGTGTTGCTCAACCAGGCCTTCTCCCTCGCTCACACGGTCCCCAAACAGGCCAGGACCACAGGCCACAGGTGTGGTGATGGCGAATGTTTTCTATAAAAACAGCCTTATCTGATGCTCAGACGTCACCACTCTTCCCTTCAATTCCCCTCCATTCTGCCTCACCCTCTTTTCCTTGCCCGTTTCCCAAGAACACACGAAGAGGTCTAGATTCCTCTGCCTCAGTCTTGTCGGTCACCAATAAAGATATTCAGTTTCCAGTAGCCCATCCGGGCACAGAATTTTCCAAAAGTCTTTAAAGCACAGTGGAAAACCAAAAGCCTATTGGTTGTGTCTGAAAGCAAAACTTGAAACGCACAGATTGCGGAAGCAGTGCCAGAGAGCAGCAGCATATCCCTGGACACGAATTCGGGAAGCGTCCCTCCTGCCTCCACAGGTGCCACATTCTGGGCAGGGCCAGGCCAAGGACAGCGGATGTTCTTCGCACTAGAGACAGGAAATATCCAGATGCCCAGAAACACTCCACTGAGATTATTTCTAGAGGCACAGTTATATTGACGCCCCCACTATGGTGTTTTCAAGATATAATGGGGACTGCGATGATTGCTTGAATGTCACTCCCCCGTGCGCAAAGACCCTAATGGCGTTCTCAAGATACAGCCATCTGCTGCCCTCTCCCGTCAGTCCTCCCACGGAGGCCTCTGCCCACCCGCCCTCCCCTCCTTACCTTCCTCCTCTCTTCCACCCAATTTCCAGTGAGCACTTTGGTTGAGTAACTGCTCTCAATCTTCCAGCCTGGCGTAGAGAGTGATTCTGGATTTATTGCCTTCAAAAGCATGGTAGGGAGTTACCCCAAGTTTCTTTGACTTGATATGGTTTGGGGGGAGAGGAGTTAGAAAGTGGCTGAGTTTGGGGTGCCCTTTTGTCTTCCCAGCTGCTCTCCTGAGTTAGTAGCGGATGACACCCCAATGATTTCAGGGAATCGAACAGCCGGAGAGTCCACTTTCAGCCTCCAGAGAGAGGCCCGTGATCCTGGACTCTCTACTGTTGACTATCTCCATGGTGACAGACTCCGGGTAAAAATCTACTCCTTCAGGGAGCAGCTGATTCTACAAAAGCAAAGTTGACCCTCCAAAAACAAATCAAAGCAACAAACACCACCATACAAAGGATCGCCAGGAGGACCCGGTTTATGTGTCGTCACCCAAGACCAGCATCATCCTTGCTGCATTTTTTACGGTGGGGGTGAGTTGAATTTTGCTGCTGTTTAATGGACACCATCTTGCTTATTGCATACTAAGAAATGTATGCACACGTGTATCCAGCCTGTTTAATCCTCACAGGCAGCCGCCATTACTGTACCCATTTTAAACATGAGGTCATTGAAACAAAGACAGATTAGCCACCTACAGTCACGTAGCTACCCTGTGAAAGGGCAGGGGTTCAAATCTACTCTGATTCGAGCCTACAGCCCTGGGCTTCATCTACTGACTGCTGCTTTGACGAAGGGGCTCCCTTGAAGAATGCTGGCTTTGTGCTCACGCTGATACGATAGGGTTCCTTCCATCAGGCTTCAGTCATTCATTCCAAGGTCACTTTAAGTTAGAGAACCAGCAGGCCACGCTCAACAAAGAGTCGTAAGTTCCAAACCCAGCTCTCTGAGAAAATGAAAGCAGTGAAGAAACCAGCCAAAACCTGCTAGAACCAAGATGGCCATGAAAAACCTCCGATGACCGCACCACCCATCACAGCCTGCTGGTGATACATGCACACACGGTAATACAAGGAACTCCCACCAGCCCCGTGACAGACCACCAGGGCCGCAGCAGCTCCCAGAAGTCACCCTCCACGGTTTAAAAGGGAAAGGAGCCCTCGGTTCCAGGAACACCCCCACTCCCTCCCTAGAAATTTAGGAATAATTCTCCCTGCTGAACATAAAATTAAATAGAAAGTGTAAAATAAGGCCTTAGAAACCCACCGAGTGCTATGCTCTGTGGCTTAAGAGCCTCTGCTGGCTTTGCCTGACTCTATCAGCTTGCTTTTTACTTCCTTCCCATTCAAAGCCAAGAACGCACTTGGCCTTCAGGCTGGACCCCAGCCTTGGGCTCCACCTTCTTGTATGATCTTCACGTTCTATGTCACAGGTGCTGAGCTGTGGCTGCCGGGTACTCATGAGTGGGCCCAGGCCCCATCCCCACAGAGCTCAGTCCGGTGAGACAAAGTCTGCCATCTTTCCTATTCATTAGGCAAAACTATAGACCCCCATCAACAGAGGGCTGGTTCGATACATTGGGGTACATTTCTTATACCTATGAAACGCTCTGCAACTGCTTTTTATTTATGTTTGTTTACTTATTTATTGAGACAGAGTCTTGTTCTGATGCCTTGGCTGTAGTGTGGTGACATCATCACAGCTCACTGCAGCCTCCAACTCCTGAGCTTGAGAGATCCTCTTGCCTCAGCCTCCCAAGCAGCTAGAAATGGCATGGGCCACCACACTTGGCAAATTTTTCTACTTTTTGTAAAGATGGGGTGTTGCCTCTTGCTCAGGCTGGTGTCGAACTCCTAGGCTCAAGCGATGCTCTCGCCTTGGACTCCCCAAGTGCTGGGATTACAAGCATGAGCCACTCTGCCCGGCTATCATAACTGTTCTAAAGGCTGATACAGGAAGTCACCTTTGACATACGATTGAACTAAAGAACCAAAATCGCAGTCTCGCTCCATGTAAAGATGTTGGGTGTCAGCAGGCAGAGAAAGGATGTCCAGGGGCCTTTAAACGAGAATAGAGGAACTTTAGGAAACCATTATTCCATCCTAAAACTAAGCATTTGGCAGGGGAGACCACATCAGATGTCCCTTAGAGGGGAGTAACCACAGTCTGGGCATGGCTGGAGCCAGGAAGAGGAGATGTCCCTCCAGTCAAAATGCAAGGAGTCACGTGTTCTGTATAATTCCATTTTTTAAAACCTGTTATTTATTGGCATAACAAAAACGTGGGAAAGTCCATTTTTTTAAATGTACAGGCCGGGCGTGGTGGCACATGCCTGTAAGCCTAGCACTCTGGGAAGCCAAGACAGGCGAATTGCTTGAGCTCTTGCTGTGAGGGGTGATGCCACAGCACTCTACCCAGGGAGACAGCTTGAGACTCCATCTCTAAATAAAGAAATAAATGTACAGGTGAAAGCCCAGGTAGTGAGAATACGATGGAACCAGGTGGGCTTGCGCAGATATGCCAGGCGGTCAGTTTAGGTGATTAACTTTTAAATTAGAATGTTGTTAATTGTTCATGAGTCAGGGGTTCTGCCGATTATTGTTTAAGATAAGGGTTAACGTGGTCTTCACTTTGAACTCCAATGTATAACACTGTAATTTTGGATATGGAAGAACAGAACAGTCTTGGAGAGACTGTCCTCACTGGTGTCCAGAATCCGCCTTCTAACTTTGGTCGACCTAGCCCCGTCTCTGCCTATGGGCTGACAGTGACAGGTGGCTGGATCCTCTTTGTCCGGAAACACAGATCAGTGAATTATGGTAAAGCAAAACTCTACAAAACTACAGGGTCGGTTGAGCACCCCAAAAGTGCTCTGCATCCCCTCCCCACTCACACCCAGGCCTCCACCCCTAGACACCAACTTCCAGCTTTTACGTGTAGAGCAACAGCGTCCTTGGTTTTTTTTTATGCTTGGCGACAAACTAGGTGTCTCTAAGGCAATAATCTGGAGCTTTGCCCCATTGTGGACTTTGTATATAAATGGGATCCTCTGTATTTACTCGAGTCTGGTATCTTTTCCCCAACATAGCCAACATTTTAAAAATCCACCCAGGTTGCATGTAGCTGTGGCTGCCATGACTGTTTTGTCCGTGGTCCAGATACAGGAGCAGTTCTCAAACTTGTTAATCTCAGGGCATCTTTAGTCTCATATACAGTATTGAGGACTCAGAGGGTTTTCTTATGGGGATTCTATTCTGTGGTGCTGGAACTGGGTTGCCCCAGCCCATGAGGGCCCCATTGTGACCTCTTCTCAACATCATGCATGTTCTGTGAGGTCACACGGATAGCTTGAAATGGGTCACAGTGGGAATATTGACACCACAGAATTGGCAGATGCTACATAATCAGGGCGTTACTTTTCCCCCCAGAGAGCCAGTTTATCAGCATACTGCCGGTTATAAATGTTGATTTTTTTTCTTTTGAGACAGCATCTCACTTTGTCACCCACAGTAGAGTGCTGTGGCATCATAGCTCACAGCAACCTCAAACTCTTGGGCTCAAATGATCCTCTTGCCTCAGCCTCCCAAGTAGCTGGGACTACAGGCACCCGCCACAATGCCAGCCTATTTTTAGAGACCAGGTCTCCCTCTTGCTCAGGCTGGTTTCAAACTCCTGAGCTCAGGCAATCTACTGGCCTCCCAAATTACTAGGATCACAAGGGTAAACTACTGCCCCCAGTCTAAATTCAGTCATTTCAAAACAATACACACAAAAAAATGCATGGTAACCATAATTTTTAAATGCAAATTGTCTCCATTTTCTGAAACCAAAAATTTAGTTAGAAGAGCAGCATTATTTTACATGTTTGCAAATAAGTTTCCTATGTGGACTGATAAAAAGCAGTGGTATTCTCTTTCTAGGAGAAAGTCTGGTCCTTATGTAGCCTTTTGAGGCTCTAAATTCCTTTCCTTACTGTTTTAATAATTCACTTAATTCTTATAATATTTTGCTGCCTCCCATAGAGAACTAAACTGTTTTCTATAACTTTATTGGGTTTTTTGTTTTGGGTATTTTTATTTGCTTGTTATGTTTTGGATTTTAGGGGGGGGGTTTTGAGACAGAGGCTTACTATGTCGCCCTCAGTAGAGTACTGTGCATCACAGCTCACAGCAACCTCCAGCTTTTTTGGGCTTAAGCGATTCTCTTGCCTCAGCCTCCAAGTAGCTGCGACTACAGGCACCCACCACAACACCCAGCTATTTTTTTTTTGGTGCATTTGTCATTGTTGTTTAGCTGGCCAGGGCTGGGTTTAAACCTGCCAGCCTCAGTGCATGTGGCCAGCACCGTAACCACTGTGCTATGGGCGCTGAGCCTCATTTTGTTTTTTTGAGACAGTCTCACTCTGGCACCCTGAGTAGAGTGCCATGGCATCATAGCTCACAGCAGCCTTAAACTCTCAGAGATCCTCTTGCCTCAGTCTCCTGAGTAGCTGGGACTACAGGCACTCACCACAACACATGTCTATTTTTTAGTGATGGGGTCTTGGTCTGACTCAGTCTGGTCTCAAACCTGTGAGCTCAGGTAATTCACCTGCCTCGGCTTCCCAGAGTGCTGGGATTACAGGCATGAGCCACTGTGCCCAGCCTTCATTGTGCATTTTCCAGAAGAATAAATCCCTTTAGAAATTCCTTTAATGGCTCGACACCTATGGCTCAAGTGGCTAAGGCGCCAGCCACATACACCTAAGGTGTCAGGTTTGAATCCAGCCCGGGCCTGCCAAACAACAATGATGACTGCAACCAAAAAGTAGCCAGGCGTTGTGGCAGGTGCCTGTGGTCCCAGCTACTTGGGAGGCTGAGGCAGGAGACTCGCTTGAGCCCAGGAGTTGGAGGTTGCTGTGAGCTGTGATGCCACAGCACTCTACCCAAGGGAGACAGCTTGAGGCTCTGTCTCAAAAGAAACTCCTTTAATGCAGTCTTGTTGGTGGCAAGATGTATTTTACAGTGGCAGGGCACGTCACATACACTGGGGCTGGTGGGTTTGAACCCGGTCTGGGCCTGGAAAAAAAATCTTTCTTTTCCTTTTTATTCTGAAGCAGATTCTCAGTGAGCGTAGAAGCCAGGTTA